TGCTGAACCTTCTTCATGCATAGTGCCCTATGCTTTTATTCAGAATACCATTCTGTTGATTTTGTAGTGTTGTCACTTTGCTGAGGTCCATATACCCTTAGCTCGATGATCTCAGGGGATTTTAAAGATACATGTGTTCATGGCAACTTGCTGCAAAAAATGAATACCCCATGTCTTCAAAAGACAGTATGGCACCGGCAACAATAAAAAGCAGATGCTGCAATGGTGCTGATTCCTTGGTGGGGGTCTCCTCAGTGGGGAATCGCCTTGGTGGGATCTCAGTGTTGTGACAACATGGCCAAGTCCCAGTGCTTGATGCTACTCAGAGGTTGGTCTAACAGGTTTGGCTCTAAAATTTGACTACAAAACTTCAGCTTTAGCTTTAGGGTTTGATCTGAAACATGAGAAAAGGGGAGTACTGTAACTGGTATAGACAGGGGAATAAAAGCTTCAGACCCGAACTAAGCTGAATTCTCTTTCCTGACTGTGATGACTCAAGCCTGGTGAGAGCTGCTGAAACTGGTGTGCTTGGGTGTAGTTGGAACATGGCGCCTGGTGTTGAACTATGCCTTCTGCTCTGAAATGTTATGTTGAAACTACAGTTCCACAGTTTAGTTCAATAAGAACTTTACAGTTCCCTGTTAACACAATCCTGAAATGTTTTACAGCAGATGCATATAGTAAAACAGCAGCACTATGAATTTAAGGCATCAGCTCATGAATACCCAGCTCCCATGACTGAAGTGAAGAGCAGATGTGCTGATGTACAAACTATGTTAAGAGTTCCCATAGGAACTATTCTCCATAGCTCATTGTTTCTGGAAACAATGTATCTGTAGTATTACTTGTCCTAGGACTTAACAGCACACACTTGACAGAGAAGGTTATGCAAAAAGCTGCAGCTCTTTAAGTGCATGCAGCTCAATCCCTTGCCCCTCAGGACCTGCAGCTGCACTTTCCAGTCTCCCCGGTGCCATCCTCCAAGGTGAGAGTTCCTTGTTATAACAGCCACTGGTATTGTCCCACTTTAACGCAATCTGCTACTCTCCTGGCTATGAGCAATCACCTCATATAGCCACACAGAGACCTTCCATTTGATCAGCAATAGCAAGAAGAGCACCACCAAAATGTCTTCCCCTTCTTGTATGTTCTTCCTCCAAATTTGGCCTGATTTGAAACCTACTCTTTAAAAGACCAGAAGGGTGTCATGAAAGCTTCTGTAATTGTCGGCAGCTTTGCCAACCAGACTTCACTGTGACGATGTTTCTAGGGGAAAGAGCTGTGCAGATCCAAGCTGGAGCTTATAGGTGCTGTGAAATGCTAGATCAGGCCTGGACTCTTGCCAGTGTTTGGAAATTACCTGCTGAGGTACAGGTTTTGGTCATTCTGATTTATAACAATTTCTTAGACACAGCTTGCTAAGGTCTATTAGTTATTTGTTGTTAAAACACGTAGTGTTCTGTTTTTCTCAGATGTTGCTGTTATGAAGAAGTATAATTTATCCCCAACATGCATGCAGGTTTTCTTGCAACAGGTGATGGTAGTCACTCCACTGCAGCACTGAAAGATACTATTAGACCCAAAACAGATCAAAGCTAAGATGATCAGTGGGGATAGCCTAAAAGAGCTAAACTGTATTTAAATTAAATGTACTTATAGTGGAGAAAATGAACTGCAGTTCCTAACTCATAATATGAGAAAAGGCAGCTAAGGCTAATGAAAATCAACAGGGATTTCAAAGTCCCAGACACGTGATGAGGCAAAAAGTTTTGTGGGAATTAGAAGCTGAGGGAGAGAAACCCAAACTAGTGTTCCAGGGAGCGAAGATGTGCTGTCTGACCCACATTCAGCCAAGCAAACTCCAAACCAGCCACCAGCAAAGACACAGATACCCTGGAAACCAGCCCTATTAGTCTTGCTGCTCAAAAACCAACTGCTTGAGTAACCTGAGATGTTGTTAATGTCCCACTTAAGTCAGGACACTTGTTTGCTTACACGTGATTTCTAAGCTGACCATGTTACTGCCAGTTAGGAAATGACAACTGTCTCTCTCCTACCTACAGAAGGTTAGAGATATTTTCATTTGAAACAGGGCCTGTGTTCCCTGAGGAACTGAGCTTTGCAAAAAGCTTATATAGTTAAACAGGAAGAAGTCCTTTATTTTACACAGTTACCTTTCTTTTTTTTTAAAAAAAAAAAAAACAGATTTTTAATGCTAGAGAAATCTGTTTTTCACTATTACATAAAATAAATACAGATCACACTCAGGTATAGGTGTTGATTCAAAATCTGCCCCTGATCCACAGCCCACCCTGATTCTGACCTTAGGATCAGTTTGAGATAGCAAAAGCAAAAATGCAAGTGTGCTAACTTAGTATCTACAAATATGAGGGAAAAGAGAAGAGGCATACATACAGGCATCTGGGTTTCTTATGCAATGAAATTTCTGTAAACTGCAAAGAAAACAGAAACATGTTACTGATATTAACATTAAATTATCAAGTAATTAAAGCATGACAATAAAATTGCTGAGTTAAAATATTTGAGATGTATGCCATCTTCAGACTTACATTTCCATTCTCATGTGCTGTTACTACTGGAACACTAACATGAGAAACTTAAGTTGGAGGAATAATAATCAGTGTTTTTTATTTATATCTTATTTTTAAACTCATAATATGTGAATTGCTAGTGGTTGCATTTTTCCCATTATTTTTATTGTAACTATAATCAAAGTAAATTGCTGAAGAAGTGTGGGCTGAACAGAGATTCTTCACATTAGATTAAGCAGTGCAGTTACAATCAGAAGTAATTATTACATTCAAGATAATTAATAGGGGATAGTGCCTCAAACTGCATTAATTTTATCTCGGAGCCTTAAATTTTGCAGTCATATTTTTCAATTCTTGTAGTTTTTACACAAGCAGTTAAGAAACTCCAGCTCCGAATGCTTGGCTCTGCCTGCAGAAGCACAGAGTGGTGCAGGGTGAGAACTCAAGGGTTTCTCTTCCTTTCCCCCTGCTCCAAATCCCAAGGTCACTTAAGAAAACAGCTTCCCAGCCCAAGCAATTTTGCATGACTCCATTTATTCAGACAAGGTGCCTAACAGTTTGGGAGCAATTTTGTCCAGTCTTTCACCCCATCATTTTCTGAAGTCAGCATGCCAAGCATGTCAGATTTGGCATTTGAAAACCATTATTTTCCAGTAATTTGAGAACCATTATTTTTCCCTGTGTCCCTAGTATTTTCCCCAACTTGTAGGTGGACTTTTGCCCAACCCAATGTTGCTTGTCCTCCGTCAGGGATGGCAGTCTGGAGCTGTTGTGTGCTTTTCTCCAGTTACCTTGTGAAGGGCAAGCTGGCCAATATTTGGATGGATGACCTCCAAGGAATGCTTAAGTCATTCAGAAAGAGGGGCAGCTGCCTCAAAAGTTAGCACCTTCTCCAAGGGACACCACTGAGCCAAGAATCCCGGTAAACGCATCAAGAGCATGGGAGACAATTTAATTCTGAGGCTCATCTTTATAGTCCTCTTCAGTGTTCTCAAAGACACTGAGAGGGGAACCTATGCTAAATTTTGGAACAGCTCTGTTTACTCAGTTCTTGCCTAAAAGTCTTCATCTTCCAAGTAGCTATAAGAATCTTTGCTTTCCACCATTAAATACCTTTTTAGTTTTCTGCATGATCAAATGGCTTTCACCTCCAAGGAAGAGTAAATACTTAGTAAAGTTGAAATGTTCTTTCAAAGATATGTGGATATCTATATAAATGTAATGCATTGTAGGAAAAAATACACTGAATTTAGTGAGAATGAGAGCTTCCACAGAAATCATGCTATTCAGCAAGCAATGTTTAGACAGCAGTGGCTTCCAATCTGTGGGCTTATAGAAATTCACTGACTACTTCTAAGAGTTCTATAGTAGCTAACTACGGAAAGGCAGCCTATTTGCCAGCAACCTTACATATTTTCTATAGGAAACTGCATCTCTGCTGACAAAAAAAAAAAAAAAGGTATCTGCAAAAAGATTGCCAGTAGAACCTTAGTGACCCAAAGGCAATGTGTTTCTGGCAAAGGAAACAGTAGCCATAGCCAAAAATCTGGAAAAATTGTGGAAAAAATGGCAAATATTTCAGTATTCTCCAGTTTGCTTTTCCCATCTTTGTTTCTGCTCTTTTCCTCTCTGCTTCTTTGAGCTTAACATCTCCACATTGTTCCCTTCCTTGCTGCCCACTGCCAATCTACCTGCAACTTGCTTCGAGTGAAAGGCTGCAAAGCTCAGCTGCCTGCTGCCTTTGCTCATTATCCTGTGACTTGCTTACATTAGGCTAGAATTGAGGACTGCTTTTCATACTGTCCTTTACAAAGAACACTGCAAACATATAGCACGTATGGGAATATGAGCTATTGAGGTTTCTAGTAACACTCAAAACTGTTTGAAATTCACATGTTATTACGAAATGGCAGTTAAAAATATAAATAAAATATAAGCCTAAAGAAACATTTTACAAATACAGATCTGTCTGGAGGAACAATTAGCCTGTCTTACTGGGCCTACTCACATTCAGATTCAAGTACTTTCCCTCCAGTGGTGGGTGACAATTAACGAAAGGACTTTGCTAGCTTACCACAGGTTCGTCAACATCGTTGTGGCGGCACACAAGCTGCTGATTTTGGTAATATTCTAGCTGCCTTTCTGCTAGGTCCACCCGCTGCAATAGGTTCTCAATGAAGTGCTGGAGCCTGGCTTTTCCTCGGACTTCTTTCTCTGCTGCTTCTTCAAGGAAGTGGTTGAAAGTAACAACTTCTCTGCAAGATAAATATATGACAGAGAAGTGACACTTAGATAATAGGAAAGGCCCTGGTCTAATTGCTGTCAGAAAATTACTTAGTGACTTGCTAGGTCTTCAAAACCAAGCTGAAATCCAAACCTTGGTGCCACCGTGGGCCACAATTCCATATGATGCCTTTCATAAACCCATCAGCCTCCACAGTAGCATAAGCAACAGTTTGATTGTTGCAGCCTGAATTTATCTCCTTAATCTATGCTCCTTGTTTCTGTCCCTGTGTTGTCTTCCCTGGCATTTGATCCCTCACATAATTACAGATAAACCTTGTTTGGCATGCTTAAAGGAATTGTGTGTTTTTACTTCTGAAACAGGCTGCTGGTTTCACCGGTCTGTCTTTGCAGCTGTGATCAAAATAGGTAACTAGAATGATGCCTAGATTTACAGAGGGGGTTTCAGCAGTGTCTTGTACAATCGGCAGGCAGTTCCTTCTCCCTGGTGGATATACCTCACCTGATACCTACCCTGCTTTTCACGGTGGTATCTCATGGTGGCTAATTGTTGTCCTTCTCTTCTAGTAAGAGATTTCAGCCTTTCCATGAACATTTATACAAGAGCTGGAAACTTGAATCCTGAATTTATGCTTAGGGGCAATGGATTCTGGCAGTTTTATCATAGTTTATCCAAAGTCTTGGAAATAGTCCTTAGAATCCTGGTGGCCCACAGAATTTAGATGTCTTGGAAATAGTCCTTAGAATCCTGGTGGCCCACAGAATGGAAATGCCATTATCATTAATGATGATGTGTGCTGGAGACAGCACTACAGGCAGCTATTTGAAAACAGGGCAACTTCTCCTTTTCTTACTTACATATATGACTATCAGTCTTGAAACATGATGGGAAGTGCATGAAATAACAAATTTATCTTATTTTCTCATAGTCTAACAACAGTAGTTCAACCCAAATACTATGGTAGTTCGTAAGTTAAAAGAGCTACTGTGGCCATTAAATCCCACTTGAGCTGCAATCCTCTAAGTACTTCAAAGTGCAGTGCTGTGAGCTAGCTGGGAGCTGGTAGGGAGGATGGGAG